GAGTTGCAAGCACAGTTAACATGGAGCCATCCTGAAGCAGGCATCATGCACACCCGATCATTTGCTGAAGAGTCACTTCTATAATTCATGCCAGCTGTACCGCAGAAGACACGGAGCATCGGAGTCGCCATCGTACCTGCATGGATGCCACTCAGGCATACTTTGTGCAGATCGACAACCCGGAGTCCGAAGCACGTGTGCACAAAAACACATATTAAACCATTCTCAAGCGGTGGGAGGGGGGCGCACCCGGGTGCTCATCAATGATGTCGGTGAAGCCATGGATCCACCAGGTAATCAGGTATAACTTAAATAGCCACTTGGGGTTTAAAGTATGTAAGAACTGATATGTTCATTAAGCGAAAGGGTCCCACCGAGTGAAGTAGCAATCTCGGGGCAGGCAATTCGGGATTAAGGTTCTAAATTGTTAACAATTATATATAAGGCCTCAGGATGTATTGGTGTAAGGCCTGAGCCTCGATCATACAGAAACCCTAAGCCTCTGCCGATAATGTGCACCCATATTTGTATCGAAGCACTATATCTATGCACCAATACCATAAAATATGCAAGACAGCAGCTCGATGCTGCTAAATGGCTGAAGTGGCCGCTTTGGGACAAGAGTGGCCGAGACCGCAAAAGTGCTACAATCCCCCCTAAAGCATATCAAACCAGGGTCGGACCGAAATAAGTGTTACAAAGGAACCTCCAGGTGGAGAGGATTGCGAGTGAACGGCAACGTTTGCGAAGAGGAAGAGCGTTTGTTTTGTAGTGAAAAGGAACTGCAGCGTGTTTACTGTTTGTCAAGGAAAGTCGGAGTCACCTCAGTCGAGGAACTTTCGCTAACTCCGAAGGCGGGGTGTTAAACATTCTGCCAGGAACAGTAACACAGCTAGTGCAGTGCAGTTAATGTAAAGGAACAGCCGGAGTCACGCCCATGACGTACAGGCTCGAGACCAGCGGCAGGATGATCTCAACGAGCTTATACAAGCTCTGGATGCGCACCCCACGCAGCATCGCCCCACTCTTACGGGGCTTACCAGCAATGTGGTGCCCACCGGATGACCCCTCCACTCTTACTTTGCAGCGCGAAATTTTTGCGGGAGTGGCGGCACAAAGCAGGGGCCCCCCCTCCGCCGAAGCATGCTATGCGTGAACACTCAAGGCACCTACGCCACATCCTCCCTTCTCGAGCGAAAGTGGGATTCCTCAAAGGCTTCATATAGCCGAGCAGGGGGCCGGACATTGATCGTGAGCGATAGAGAGAGAGCAGAGTGACCACGTATGGATCTGTTGTATCGAAGACGGGGAAGAAGTGGTTGGAGACCCGAGGCTGTCCACGCCGCCCCGTCAGTGATTTATCTGGGCCTCGCAAGTGCAGCTGGGCTCGGTGTTGGCCCGTGTCCGACACAGCGACCGTGACAGGAAAAGTGACCGCTTCAGTTTGAGTGTAGGAACTTTAGTGAAGCCCGTTCTTTAACACGGCCATGGAATCTGAGATAGCAGAGGCGGTCGAAGTGCTCAAGGCTGCAGGGTATACTCCGTTTTCTAGCTTGATCTCTGATTGCGCCGGCGCCATCACAGACCTGAACCAGGTAGCAAAACCTACCCCAAAGGTCGCACATGCACTCCTCATTACATTCCTGGGGACACGACCTGGGCTGTCGAATGAATCTCTGATCTCTAAGATCAGCTTTCCGACAGTCGATGAGCATGGATGGTACAGGTTTGCGTACGCATCTGCGAATATACTGCCTGGTGGTGAGGTCGCGTTTCATTGTGCACATTAATCAAGTGGAAGACTTTTGCCCTCGACTGCGCCTCTCGAAGGCACAAGAAATTTCCGAAGGCACGAGAAATTTCGAAGACAGACCAGGGGTGTATCTTCACAGGGCCACGAACAGGCATCTCGCAGCTGGATACTCCTCTCTCGTGCGCATAGGCCCCCGGCACTTCTTCACCAGGGCGATGGTTGAGGTGGAGGCTGCCTTCTCTGGATCGCAAAAACGTGGAAAGAAAACAAACCAACTTATCCACAGTTTTAACTCCGTCAAAATTCAAGCGATTCTGTTGCAGATCTCCACAAAGCCTGACCTCACCCTGGGTGGGTACCTTCGAGAGTGGAGTGGAGCTCTAGAGATTCCACTCAAGCACACACGAGACTCGTTTTCTGCCTTGGGTTACGACCTGATCTCTAGCAGCCATCACAGAGACAGAGGCCATCAACAGGAAGGAGGAGCTACTCCCCTTCCGAGAGCAGAACCCGCTGCAGAGAGCAAGTTGAGGTCACAGGGTGGAGTTACTCCCCCTGCAATGGGCAGCCAAGATCATTCCTCTCAGGCAGCGACTTCATCAACGACCTCGAGAGCAGATGCAATCTCGGTATGGGAAGGTCATCCTGGAGAGCTTGGGAAATTTTTTGCGAAGAGTCTACAGATCCTTCCACAAAGTTTTCTTTTGAGGTGTCTAAAGCCTTGGCGGGGTGCTTACGCCACGGCCACAGGCCGTATATTCCGGTGACCAGTGCAGGCTGGGCTCGGGTCCAGGATGTCCTCTCCTGGCCACGTATCTAGGCTCAGCGCACGACTCACCGAGTTCCAAAGCATCCCAAGGTCGCCGGCGGAAAGCATGAGCACCTGGTTCACCGTCTCCGGTCAACTCAATCACGTGGGTCTCGTTGGTCGTCCCGGCCTCGGCGATGCGAACCTGCTTGGGCCCAGGTCTTGCCTCACTCAGGGTCACCAGCCCCATGTCCACTGCCGCCGCAGTCGAAGCGAAGATGCTTCTTTGCGCTCTTGTTGGCAGCGATTGACGCCTTAGCCTTCGGCCGCCCGCCGCCGGCTCCTTGGACAGCTGGACCCTTTTAGCCACGGTCGTGCCAAGCGGGTGCGAGCCTCATGCCGCCGAGGCCTCTATTCCTTGCTCCAACTCCTATCTCTTCCGCGAGGGTCTCCACCTCAGCTTGCAACACCTGGTCCAGCGAGTGGCCCTCAGGGCCGTACTCCTCCGCCACGGCACCATGTGGTCATCCTCTTCATCATCGGCCGTTGCTTCCAAAGCCTCCAGCTCCTCAATCTCTGCCGCGTGAACTTGCCGAGCAGGGCCGCCAGGAACACTAGCCGAGGAGCGCAAGCATAAGACACCGTCGAGGGGGTTCCCGGGCCACCAGTGCAGGGAAACCGTCTGGAAGACCACGCACATTGTAGTCTTGGGTGGATGGGTGGGGGTGGGGATGGGGGGATTGGATTCGGGGTTTCATAACAGCCATCAACAGCGAAGTTGTTTGCAAATGAGGATTTCAAGAGGCTCAGCACCCCAAGAGATGTGGTGTGCACTCCTTCGCGAGTGATGTCAAGAGCATCAGATTTTGGGGACATTGCATGCGGCTGCGGAATTTCCTGTTTCAAAAAGCGCGGGGAACACCGCTTCTGTTGCTTGCTCAGCCCATGCCGAAAACACAGCGAAGGGCGGCTCGATGGTGCCTTTTTGAATGATTTCAGAGGAAAAATTTTCGTGCTATCGAACCGCTGCGCTTTCCAAGCCTGAAGACAGCTGTTCGATAGATTGCAACACGGACAACAAACACGGGCAGTTTGTTAGTGACGAGATGCGCCAAGTTTTGGGAAGCGGTTGCGTTAGATTTGTTTCAAAACATGTGGTGCAATCGAGTTTCCATAAACTTGGTGGTATCGAACCGTTGCGTTTTCCGAATATGATTACAGCGAAGGGTGAATCGATGGCACCATATGGCACCAAATTTTCCGGGCCCCCCCTCCCCGCTTCCATAAGGTAGCGCCAGCTGCTGTTTGCGGCTGTGCATGTACTTGGGTTCCTGCGCGGCCTGTTTTCAGGCATGCCTTCCAATGTCGCGGTCGTTCCGTGAATGCAGAAACCATGAAGACCTGTCACAAATGCATTCATGCCTCCAAGCAAAAATGGACGAAGATTTGCTGAACAGGAGGAAGTGATGTTGAAATATCAGAAAATGAACGACCACGAGGAGTTTCTCAACAAATGGGTAGCAGTAGCGCCAACACAACGACGTCCCATCTCTAAAAAATGGGTCGAAGAGGAGCAAGCGCGAAGCATCGAAACCAACCAAAGCGGAAGGACCAACATGGACATCCTTTAAGCTTGCCCGATCCATCACATGCCAGTACTCAGAGAAGCAACAATCCCGAAGATACACCACGAATGGCGGTGTCCAAGCGTGGTCTCGTCGACTGCAGCTACGCATCGTGGACGGCCACACCGCAGACTGGGAAATTCAAATTTGCTGCATGACATTGGTGAAGCAAACCATGAAGATCAAACCGGATCCACTCTTGCCGGGTGACTTGGCGCAGAATTGAACTGCCGTTGTCAACAAAAGAGCCGGGCTCAGCGAGAAAATGAATCTGGACATCGTCGAGGGGAAGGTTTGGCGGGAACTCTGGGAGCCCTCTCGGGAGCCATGATCTAATCAAGTCTTGAACAAACCTGTAGAAATTGGAAAGCCTAAGTCAACGTTAAGGAGGTTAGCCCCCCCAGAGCCCCCAATAGGGTGTCATGAGAATCGAATATGCGATGCGCATCCAGTCTTAAGCATTCCCAGGGTCTGGGGTTCAGCTGTCAGGTGAGGCCACTCCAACCGACGCGAGCTGTTGCGAACGGTTCCGAGCCGCGCCGAACCGTCCCGTCCCGAACCGTTCCGAACCGATCCGAACCGATTCGAACCGTTCCGAATTCCTCTGACCTGGCCAGCGCTGATCGGAGCCCAGCCCAGCAGTGCAGGGCAGGGCTGGGGTGCCGAGCCCAGCCAACCCAGCCCAGCCAGCCCTAGCCCCAGCCCAGCCCAGAGACGGCGTTGTGGACCTCGCATCTGCCTTGTTTCAAGTTTCAGATCTCAGCCCTCACTGCACAGACGCTCGGCGCCCACAGGGTTGTGCAAGCCATGTGCGTGCTTTCATTGATAATTCTGGCCCAACTTGGCAGTTACACGCACGGGTCTGGCTGCGCAGGAAGAAGCGACCGGAGCGTTGCCACATGCGACATCGAGTGAGGCAGAAAAGTACAGGGTTCTAGGATTTCCCATATTACTGTATGCAGAGTTTCATTTTCCTGCCATTTTCAGCTTGTAACTGTAAACGTATTGCTGCTTGATCATAGTTGCGGCTGGCACAGGGCAGCAAGATGTGTGGTTTGTTTTTCGTGTGCCTGGCATAGTGTAGACCGAATGCTGAAAGCAAAGTGTTGAGCCGATCTGATGCTGAGCAGGTCCCGCAGAACACGTTCAGCCAGGTATACCCCGTGCCTCAGCTGTGGATGCAACTTGCTATCATCCGGACTGCTGTCGAGTTGCTGCATGAAGTGGAGCACTAAGGTCTGTGTCGTTGTCGTAGACCCAGCAATGCATACGAAAAAGCTTCAGACTTTTTCATGGACAGAATGGTCGGCCTTGACTGCCGATTTGGAGCGGTGGAAGAGCAAGAGCTCTGTGCACAAACAGCACGTACTCTACTGGAGAGATTCACAAGGGTGTCTATGTCCCCTTGATGAACAGCCGCGTGACTTCAAGTTCGTTGCTGATGATGATTATGGTTGGATGGGTCTTCAAGTTGACTTGATTCTCCAGACACTTGCGGTTGTGAAAAATGGGATCGACGAGAATCTCATACTTGTTCCAGGAGTTACAGTGACTGTCGAAGACCTCATCAGCTACTTCGACCGTGTTGTCAGGCCACAACTCCAAGGCCTCACAGCATGTTACCAAAGCGCATCTGGAAGGCTCCGCAAACTCGATGGAACCCGCGAGAGTTTGCAAGCTTTCAGCCGAGATGCTCTGCAGCGCACATCCGACAGCTCATCGCTGGACCTCCGCTTCGAGCTTCGGCAGGACAGGACGAGATTGACGTTGCACGACGTGCCGGGCGAGCAGGGGCCGCGAAGCGTTTATGTGTCGAGATTGCCGAGGGAAGAGCTGACCATGAACTCCATTCTTCAAAAGTTGCCAGAGAATTGCAATGCCACATTCTCTTTGAACAACGAACGGCATGTCGAACTCTGCGAAGGTTCGCTAGCGATGTTCAAGCTAGTATCGCTTGAGAATTCCAGGTCGGATCTTGACATCGAGTTCAACCTCTATGTTCACGAGGCAACAGGGGGCTCCTCTCAAGAACTATCGGAGGCATTGTTGGCGGATGAGAGGCCTGCTTCCCAGACCCAAGCGGGGTCAGCTCCAACCGCTCCCGTCACGGAACCAAGCGCCTTCCCAGGGCCAGGGGAATCACAATCAGCCGAGGCAGAGGCACCGGCTGACCAAACCCAAGACCAAGCAGCTGGGGTCGCGAGTATTGAGAGGCCGGCCGACCAAGCCCCATCAAGTAGTCCACCCGGACTCTCCCCACAGCTAGAGGAGGCTTCGGAAGCGGATGACATCCCAGTCCCGGTCTCCACATTGGACGAGAATGCGAGGAGCCCGGAGCCAGCCCTGGCAGCCCAGGGGGCGCGGGGACGGACACCGGCATCGCGAACACCTGTGAGATACATTGGATGGCAAGTATTTTTTTCTGACGGCACCGAACGCCGGAATCCTCCCAACTGGACGGAGTTCAAGCCGGGGCAGTGGTACTACAGCGACATAGGCAGTGATGACAAGTGGTACTGGTACAAGGCTTTGGACAATTTGACATTGGTTTGCGAATATCCTCCGAATGTACCTTGGCGTTGGACACCTGACGAGAGTGTAACATATCTGCATGGCGATTCTGAGACACTAACGGAGCGTTGGTGCTGGGATGGGTACTATAACAGCTACTACTACAGAAGCAGTCTTGACGAACTTTGGTATCGGGCCCAGCCGAAATTGTTATTGGGGGGGGAGGGGGCGGGGTACTTCGAGTATCCTCCTTCGGAGATCGCGCCACAGGGGCCTCTGTGGCTTCGTAGGACTGGCTAGCAACCAGCTGCTACGCAGCAGGCCTGAGCCCTACGCAGCCTGCGAGCAATTCCTAGTTGTATCTGTCAGGCCCTATGCTTGATGGATCTTGGAGCATTGAGCACGAAGTTTCACAAAAGGTGTCAACAGTTTGGGAATCGCACAGGCACTGGCTCCCTCGTGCATGCAACGCACTTGGGTCGACCACGGGGTCACTACCTGAAGATATTGCACACTCGTTGCCAGGCTCGCTTGCTCTTACAGATTCTGCAGCCGTGCCGCGCCTATTTGCTCACATGCTGTCTTGCAGCTCTGACTTGAGTTGCCTTTGCCATGATGTGAGGGTTGGGGGCAGTGACTTCAGTCCACGACCTGCCTCTGCAGCTGTCTATTTGTAGGGCTTACAACAGAGTGCCTAAGTAGAAGGGTGCTTGCAACAGGAACAAAGAACCCTGGTTTTGGAGAAACATCCGCATGCATCGTTGTTTGGACGTTGATCAGGCCTGCCAGAGACCCAAAGCTCTACACATGACCTTGCTCTGCTCGCTGGCCGCAAAAGCCAGAGGAGGCCAGGGGTGACGCGGGTGAGATCTGCCGTGCTCAATCAGAGCTGCTGAAGCAGCACAGCCCATACCAGTAACAGCTACAAGATGGTGATCGCATGCATCTCATGTTGTCTTCAAGTCAGTGCCCAGTTTTGGGGGGGTTTGGATACCGTCCACCCTGAAGTCCTTAAGCCAAGAAAATTTGGATCTCTTGAGCCCTAAATTTCAACAAAGCCCGACGCCCTAGCACTTAAACTCTCTTGAAATCCCGCCTGTAAAAATGCCCCGAAGGCTTCTTTTGAAGCCTCAAGCCTTAAGACACGCTCAGACTGACTGCTCTTGCCGCTGCTTGCGAGGTCATGCGGAGACATGTGATCTGGATACAAAATGATCCCGGCAGTTCCATGGCCTAAGATGCAAGACACGTGTGTTGACATCATTCGAAGGCCTCGCACCCAAGAGTATCCCAAGAGTTCCTAAGCCCCTTGCATACAGCCAGATGCCATCAAACCGGAGTCATCATCTTGAGCTTTTCAGAACCACAGACTTCCAATCGCAAACCCGAGACAAGGCTACGTATGTGGCACAGTGTCGCAGAATTCAGATGTTAGAAGCTTGAAATAGAACCCCCTATGGCCTTTGGCAGGGTGTTTCTTCTGAAATGACCAAACCCTGAACATCAGCTCGGGAGGCTGTAGCAGCTCTGAAGTTAGGCATTGCGCCTCGAGCAGCTTTCCATGCCACTCAGCCCCCCCACATAAACACTCAAGAGCTTGGCCTGGGCTTGTCGTGAAAACAAGAAGAGTAGCAATCTTGCAAGAATAGCACCACCACTTACGATTGCGTTCAGGATTCAGGCATTGGGCAGTGTTTAGGTCAAGAGTCAAAGCCAAGATCCAGTGCTCGCAGACTGCCCTTGGCATTGCAGCCCTGGTGGAGTCTAGGTAAAAGCTTGAGGTCTTAAAGACATCTTGGAAACCTGCAAAGCGTAAACCGTAATGAGAACCCTAAAGCCTATCCTAAACGATTAAAGGAACCCCACACTGCACTGTAATCACCTAAACCTTTCTCGAACCTGTCTGGAAAAGCACACCCGGTTTAGCAAGACCCTGTCTATGAGCCTTTATAAGTCCAGCGACCCACTTATAGAAATCTGATGAATTGCTACACCATCTCCCTGCCCTCCATCCAGAACAACAAACGTCACAAACGCCTCGGCAGCCATGGCCTGTGACGCATTGAGCAGCTCCGATTCGTCGGGTTCGGAGTCGGAGTTTGAGAAGGAGGCATCCTCGTACCTTCTTCGTGGGGTTCAAGGTTTAGAAGTTTAGGGTCTGGATTATAGTTGTTTTTGTTTTCTGAGAGGTTTGAATCGAAGGCTTGGAGGTTTGTTTGCACCACTTTTTCATTCTCGTCTTGCTTTATATGGCTCGTGCTAACAGACTTACTGCTTGTTCAACGTGTTGTTCGTTTTTTGGGCTTTCATTCTTTGCACACGGGTTGTACAGATGTGTACGAAGTGGGTTTTGTACAGTGTTCGTGGCATTTTGGCTTTTTCGGCTGTTGGCACGAGTCACCGGGCTTTTTACGCATGGGCTCCCTTTGGTGTTCGTTCTCGGTAGATGCGATGATGTCGTATGTCGTCTATGGTATCGGTATCGAGTATGGCCGGTATGGGTTGAAATGTAGGCCCCATATCATTCGGGGGCAGCGGCTGATGACCGTGGCGCTGAGTGGGTGGGTGGGTGCGGGTGCGGGTGCGGGTGCGGTTGCGTGTGCGGTGCGGGTGCGGGTGCGGGTGCGGTGCGGGTGCATGTGGGTGCGGGTGCAGGTGTGGGTGCGGGTGCGGGTGCGGGTGCGGTGCGGGCGGGCGGGGCGGCGGGTGGGCGGCGGCGCGCGGCGCGGGCGGCACGCGCGGGCGCGCGCGGCGCGGGCGGGCGCGGGCGGGCACGGCGGGCGCGGGCGTGCGGGCGTGCGGGCGGTCGTGCGGCGCGGGCGTGCGGGGCGTCCGGACGTGGCGGTGCGGGCGTGCGGGCGGGCCCGGGCGGGCGGGCGGGCTGCGTGCGGGTGGCGGGGGCGGGCGGGGGCGGGGGCGGGGATAGCACGTCATCCAAAACTTCAGAATCCCATCGAATGCGAGGGATGCTGGGAGCCTCGCGTAGGAGCTCTCGACGCGCACACACACACACACACACACACACACACACACACACACACACACACACACACACACACACACACACACACACACACACACACACACACACACACACACACACACACACACACACACACACACACACACACACACACACACACACACACACACACACACACACACACACACACACACACACACACACACACACACACACACACACACACACACACACACACACACACACACACACACACACACACACACACACACACAACACACACAAACAAACACACACAAACACACACACAAACACACAGAAACACACACAGAAACACACACAGAAACACACACAAACACACACACAAACACACACAAACACACACAAACACACACAAACACACACAAACACACACAAACACACACAAACACACACAAACACACACACAAACACA